CACTCAATATTGGCCTTAGTTTTTGAGTTAGTTCGCAGGAAGGCAGGCATATCGACTTTTCTGAATCTTTCATCGTCCTTAATGTTCTTTCATATTCCCCGTTCTGTCATCGGCTTTTCACGGCCCGTTTGTTTCTTTGTATCACTTCTTTTGGGCAGCCATTGCCGAGAAAGATCCTAGTCAATTTGTCCAGCTCCTGGTCCCAGAAATCTGCATCCGTCAGGCGTAGGCTTCGGATGATCATGCTCCTCATTATTCCCATCTTTAATCGGTAATTGTGATGGGACCGGAAATTGAGTATTATCCCAGCATAAGACTTCTTTCTGAACAATTTCTTTTTCAGCGTTCCATTAGAACGAATCACTTCAACGTCAAGGAACGGTAACGCTCACCTTCCTTTAATTCCATTATGAATTGAATTTTTCCATCAATCTGGGTTACAAATTTCATAAATTCTTTTAGTTTTTCTCTTCCATATGATCAAAGTGCGAAGTAATCATCCAGGTACCGCATGAGCACTATCGGTTGAAGCCGTGCCGTCTTGAAGCCCTCTTCTATTTTGTTCATTTATACGTTGGCCCAAAGTGGTGAGAGCGGCGATCTCATAAAAAGTCCAAATATTTGTTCATAGATGCTCCCGTTGAATGTAAATTGGTGGTCCTTATTGTCAAGTTGATTAGTCTTGTTAACGACTTTTGTTGCAAACCGAGTGTGGCCTCATTACACTTGCGGCAGTGTATGTGCTTCTAGGGCCTTGAAAAATAGCGCCTGAAGTGAAATGAACACAGGGACTGGAACCGAGTGAAATCGGTCAACCAGAAAGACAAGTAACGAATCTACGAGATAATGAAAGGATCCGGATTGGAGGTCCGAGTCGGATAAGCCCATCGAAAGAGAGGGGTCGGGGTAAATAGTAAGTGTGATGAGGACACACTCGGTTTGCAACAAAAGGGCACACATTTTGACGATTGGAATGTAAACAAGTGAGAAGTTGTGATAGGGTGGCGGTAGGATAATAGGGCAAATAGTAGATAGATAGACAATTACAGAAAGAGGAGTGATAGTGTAACCGTTTTCGACAAAACGCTTGTAGAGGGATTAACTTCACTTGTCTCTTTGATGAGTTCGTAGCTTGGTGTGGAGAATGGCAAAGCTCACTGATGATGCTGACCACGATGCCGGCGAAACGTTTGAGGATGTATCAAGTCCACTGTCAGATGCTGGGAATCCTGACAACTACTATGGCAGACGAATTCGGACTAGGTGCGTTCTACATAGTCTCCCTGACAACAAGACCAAGTTACGACAACGAGGTCAACCCACTTCTATAAATCGAAAGGAAATCTTGGTCTTCATATATTCTTTCACAGCATATATAGACTAAAGTTGAACCAGATGGTTAAATAAGATTGAGACAATAGACCAATTGATAATGTGGAAAACTAAAAGTCAAGAGTTATAATATAAACTAGACTTACTCACCTCTCGACAAAGTCTAGGCAAACTGATCCTTGATGAATGCCGGCATTTTTCTTGAATAGGAAGCATGTGGTAAGTCAGTGCTCTGGAGAGGAAACGAACTAGCCAACGGTCATTCTGAGAGTGCTGCAGCCGAATCTGATCTACATCAATAGAACGATTCCCGGCCTCTTTGCAATAGCTCGGATCCAGTGATGCTCCAACAGAGAGAGCGTCATATCCATCGGACTCATCCTGACCTGGGTTGATCGAGGTCTCCTCATGCGAAGTCTTGGTAAACTCTTCATCGGATGGAGTGGACTGTTGTAGCGCCTCCGAGCCAGGATTTACAGGCAATAGGATGCTGGTATTTTTTGGGCCCTTTCTATGCATCAGCTGACTCAGTTTTTCAACTTCATCTTTCAACACCAGCGTCTTCAGATGGACCTCAGATATCAGCCCATAACGAATATATTTGAGAAGTCGACAAACTCCTCTTTCACCACCAGCTGTGCCACTGTTGCCAAGGCAGTCATTGCCAATAATATTAAGACTGTCGGTGCTACCAGCGACAGGAATGACAGTCAATGGCACACGAAAATCAGGATTGTGGCTAACCCAACTGACTAGGGCGTTGAGAATATCGGCTTCTTCGCCGGCCAGGTGATCGACACTGAGAAAGCCCTCCAGTTGATCAGAGGTCAGCTCCATGAATTCAGGGTCCGACTTGGAGGCAGGGCTAAAAATGTGTATATTAGGGCAAATTTATGAATATAAGAAATATAAATATATCTGATAAATGAATATTTTTAGATGCTGAAAAAAATTGAAGAGGAATCTTCTAGGTGTGTGAAATCATCTGAGTGTTTGCAACTTTAGCCGAGACAAAATATAAGTTCTACTTTGACTTAATGGAAGCAAGCTTCGGGTAGGACATCATGATTTGTGAAAAAAATACGAGGCATCGTAAATATTTTAACATACATTTGGGCGCGGGAACAGTTTGAGAGTTTTAATTTCAAGGAATTTTTTGTCCCCCTCAATTCCTTCGGATAACATTGACCATACAAGTGATATAATGCAATGAGACAATAAGAATTTAATAAGAATTTAAGTTATCACAGGTTGAATTTTTCACAATAAAATGAGTAGACTTAAGGATTCTAATGAAGTTTGCTTGATTTCACCTTCCAAAAAGGTTTTTTCCTCCAGACTAGAATGCAGTTTCTAACTCGCCTAGGTCTCATCAGCATCCTGAAGGGGTTTAAAACCGGGTGGAGCGCGTAAAGTAGCGACATGTCACAACTCTGGAAAATGCGCGTGTGCCTCGTCTACAATCCTAATATAAGTATGATATGGGAAAGACTTGGTTTGCCTTGAAAGTCACATTGCTTCTCTGACTCACTGGCACCTGAGACTGTGATAGTAGTATAGTGTTGACAACACACGCAAGACTATGTTTTGAATTCTTTTAGCGGTGCAGATGAGATAGGTTGAAACTGGATAAGAAGATCTATTAGTAGGCAAGGCTAGCTGAAATGAAATTGCATTACGAGGCCTAACGAGTTCATAGTTAGAAATTTAACTATCGCTTCTTGCATTCCTAAAGTTTCGGTTCGACACTTAATTATAGTCTCCAAGCTTCCTTATTACGAATGATAGGAGTTCACTTTGGATTAGGCCAATGAGGAATATAAATATTGCATGTAGACAAACTGTTACCAAACTTACCGTGCCAGGAAATCTTTCTAAAAGAGGACTTTGTCTATCAAAGATGTAAACTATTACACATGTCATTGTTTGTATGCCCGAATTCGTAAACAGTGGTGAGCTAAAAATGATCTTCATTCTCAAAAGATGAAAAAGACCTTTTAAGACAATGCTAGCTATATATGTAAGGTAATATTCTGTAAATGTTTCGTATATAAGCAAAGATTCTATAAACTTTGTGATTTATACTTTATCTTTTGTATAAACATGAGGTCGGTCCATTTTTGGATTACATTTCGGATTAAAATGTATTGATATATTGTTGGGATTACTTCCATTTCGAGTAGAAGTGTTGGG